TACCTGTGCCTTTGTTAAATGTTAGATTAAAAAATGTATTAAATCTAGTTATTTAAGAGACACAAGTTCATCTACAAGTAAAAGGAAAAACAAAAAAAATTTGTTTTTTTAACAGTAAAATGTAAAAATGTGTAATTTATAGGAACTAAGCTGGAAAAATAAATAAGATGGCCAAATTAATTATAAAAAATCTATTTTTTTATTTAATTGTTGCATTTTAAGTGTATTTATTGATCCATTTATATATTTCTGCTTTTATTTCTAATTATGTCAGTTTTGGTCCTCCATATATCTGAGCTTTTCACCAATGTTTCGATTATAAGCAAAGCTTTGTTTACACTTTCAGAACAGGGATAGTTTTATGACTGTTAGGCTTAAATAAATTATAAACCCTGGAATCGGGATTGTTTGGCTGCTTTAGCTGCTGTAGTTCAATTATTTACAGATTTTCCTTATTAAACAGAAAAACTAATTCTACGGAACTAGAACACCTGCTTAATTCAACAGACTGTAAGTCTTTTGTCGGATATGAGTAAATACTGTTTAGAAAATAAAAAAAGAAGAGAAAAGTGGTTTTAAATGTCAGAAACAGGTGATTTATAAATCCTACTATTAACGAGCTGGGAGACACCATACTTTTGATCATGATGTTATGAATTAAATTCAATAAACAAGTACATTTTTACTAAATTGTTCTACAGCTATTTTCATTTTAATACTGGTCTTGAAATAAAAACTTAAAGAGAAATGTTAATCTTTAGATGCAGCAAATGAAAATTTTGGAAAGTGAAAATTTGGAAAGATTTTTAGGATTTGTAGTAAGAAAAAAAGATTTATGACTAAATTAATTTAAAATAAACAGATATGGTGTATTTGAGGGAATGTCATAAATAAAAAATAATCATCCTTAATCACTTGTGTTGGATTTTATAAAAAAAAAGAGATATTTCATCAGTGATAACAAATAGCTCTGATGTGTTATTTATAATAAAGCAGATTATATTACCCATGTATTCACTGTCATTATCTGCATTTTGGTCATCATCAGCAGCATCTTCAGCATCATCTTCCTCCCTGTTGGAGCTGAAGCTGTCAGGTTCTTGCTGCTGAGGCACATCTTGGTCTCCCAGCACCATCGCCTGCTCTTTGTTTTCCTCCTCTTCTCCTGCTTCAACTTTTTTCTCATCGACTCCCTCTTTAGTCTCTTCTTCCTCTTTTTCTTTCGGACTTTTCTCCTTTTCCTCCGTCTTTTTGGGCTCTTCGACGTTCCACTCCATCGCTCTGCGCTCCTTCCTCTCCCTCTTCTCCACCCGCTCCTTCCTTTCCACCTTGTCCCCTCCGTCCTTGTCTCTTCCCCGGTGGACAATCCTGTCGCTGCCCCCGCCCTGCAGCACCCCCAGCGCCAGGTTAGAGGTGATGTGCAGCGGCACGGTGACTAGCGTGGGGCCCGTGATGTGCATGGCCGCTCTCCGACCGGCTTTGCTGGACAGTCCCGGGGATCTRGACTGAACGCCGTCACTTCCTGGTATCCCTAAACCTTCGGGGTCGAGCGCCGTGTAGGTCCCCTGGGTCCCCGCGCCGCCGCTCACCAAACCCGTTCCTCTGCGGTAGGTGACGGCGTACTCGCTGCCGCCCACCCCACCGGACGACACTGCAGCTTCGGAGCCAGACTGGGCRGAGGCGGTGACGAGGGGAGACGTGGTCGTGGACGGGGGACGCTGGCCGGAACGTCTGGGACCTGAGAGACCGAAACGTTATGTTTCAGAAATTGTTCTGCTGTTTGTTTTCAGGATTATTAAGTTGAATTAAACTTGGGTTTGTAGATTTCTCTGTAACCAGATGTCTTTACAGTAAATGTATCAGTTCAGTTGATGTTTAAAACAAGATTTTTGCCAGACAAACCAGTCTAAGCGAACTAATCTAAAGATAAATGCTGATTTGTTGAATTTTAATATATATGTATGGTTTTTTCTCTTGTTTTTCTCTCATTTTGTTTTATGTTTTGAATGTATTTTGTTTTTGTTTAAATGAAATGAAATGAATAAACTAAATCAAATCAATAAAAGTTTCTTCATTAAGAAGGAATAAAAATGATTAAATCATAAAAGAACTGTGAAAACGKCACCTTCGTTTGGATAGGACGGAGTGCTGAGGGAGTCCATGCTTCTTGCAGGTCTCAAAGAGTTCTTGTCCTTTTCTGAAATAACAAAAAATAAAAAGAACTTTTTAAAATATATATCTTTATATAAAAGTAGTAAAGGTAATTTCAAAGAGGAATCAGTTTAAAAAAACTACAAAGAGCACTTATTTAGTACAAATAAACAGAAATTATTCACTAAAAGAAGGACAGTAAATCAGATCAAATTGAAATTACAAGCCCATCAGGTGACATGGAATTGAAAAAAATTATCACTTGGCCACGAGATAATTGACGCGGCCATAATATTATTATTATTATTTTGTGTATGCCAATATAAATGGATCATCTTTCATTTTAAATTTATCAAATGACAATGAACACCTTGGTTGTGTGTCAGGAAACTGATTTTTTACTGTGTTCCTGAACGCAGCATAATGCCGACTCCTGCAGCTGAGGCTTAGAGGGACAGGTCTGTTTTGAAAGTTGAGCTTCAAAAAATGAAAATAAAGCTTTTTCGACAGACAACTCCAGTTGTTACCTGGGACTTATAGCTACAACACATAAAGCTGAGAAATAGCATCTTCATGCCTAACGTGAGGCGCTGACGAAGCAACATCATATTAAAATTAAAATAATTAGGTTAATTCAGACTTGTCCATGTAAAAAATAAACAGTCTGCATGGAAATGACAACAATAAGTAGTTATATGGTGGCCACGACATGATTAACGCGTGGGCACGCGTTATCATCTAGTGTGCCACGTGATTTTTTTTATTTCATGTCACCGGTCGGGCTCCGTAAGAAACATCTACATAAAAAAAGTAATTTATTTCAGACAGGTTCCTCAGACCTTTGGTTGTCTGTTTCTGCTTCCATCGTTTGTCGGGGAAACGTTCTTTGATGTTGAAAATGGACATCCACTTCCTGCCTTTGAGGGATCCTTTCCTCCTGATGTGAMGAAAACATTTTCAGTGGATTTAAAAACTCGACCACACCTGCTTTCTCCAGATGGACTGTTGGTCCGCTCACTTGTCTGTGCCTTCGATGATAGCGTGGTAGGGTCTTATGGGGAGGGGGCCGTCCCCTGGGCTGATGTTCCCGAAGTTGGGCTGGGAGGACTTGAAAAACACTAACTCCTGATTGGACATTGCTGACGGGGAGGGGAGGGACTTCCTCCTCTCAGAGAGAACACCTGAGGGAGGGAGAGGAAAGAGATGAGGTGGAAGTGTGTGTGTGTGTGTGTACGTGCTCTTGTTTTTAATACAGAGTCAGGACCATATGATTTTCAGGATTTCTGCAGACTATAAAATTTAATGTTTTTTAATGCTAATTTAAATGCCACCTAATTAAAATTTAATGCTACTGACAATGCATAAACTGAATATTTGTTTTGCCGTTGAACATATATGCAACTGTTACACAGGTTGTTTGTTGTTGTTGTTGTTGTTTGAACAAAAAGATTAAGTCATGTGTCTCAGTTCACAAGCTTTTTCAGTTCAATACATTTATCCTTGTATCTTTTTCTCATATTAGATTTTATTATCATTTGAGCCATTAACATCAAAGTGAGGACATTATTGGGAAGAGAGGACATTTTCCCAGTCCTCGATTTTTTTGCAGCTCTACTGCGTTCTACTAGTTTGGTTTAGATGTATGATGTGAATTACATTTTGGGTAAGGTTTAGGTCAGGAATAGACTAGTAATAGATAAGATTAAGGAAAATGTTGGGGTTAGAAATAAACGCAGTTACAAAAATGAATGGAAGTCAATACTAATGTTGCGTTCACACTGAATGCAATTTCAGCTTCAAAATCGCAGCCAACGCTTCAAGTTGGTCGCTTGTGCACTTTGAGGT